CACAAATACATGGAGGCTAAACAGTGCACTACTAAATAACCAAGAGATCACTGAAGAAATCAAAGAAGATATTAAAAAAATACATAGAAACAAATGACAACGAAAACACAATGACTCAAAACCTATGAGACCAAGCAAAAGCAGTTCTAAGAGGGAAGTTTATAGCAATTCAATCTCACCTCAAGAAACAAAAAAATCTCAAATAAACAATCTAAACCTACACTTAAAACAACTAGAGAGGGCTTCCCTGGTGGCGCAGTGGTTGAGAGTCCGCCTGCCGGTGCAGGGGACATGGGTTTGTGCCCCGGTCCAGGAAGATCCCACATGCCACGGAGCGGCTGGGCCCGTGAGCCATGGCCACTGAGCCTGCGCGTCCAGAGCCTGTGCTCCACGACGTGAGAGGTCACAGTGGTGAGAGGCCTGCGTACTGAAAAAAAAAAAAAAAAACTAGAGAAAGAAGAACAAAGAAAACCCAAAGTCAGTAGAAAGAAAGAAATCATCAAGATCAGAGCAGAAATAAATGAAATAGAAACAAAGAAAACAATAGCAAAGATCAATAAAACTAAAAGCTGGGTCTTTGAGAAGATAAACAAAATTGATAAACACTGACCCAGACTCACCAAGAAAAAAAAGGAGAGGACACAAATCAATAAAATTAGAAATGAAAGAGGAGAAATCACAACTGACACTGTAGAAATACAAAGGATTATAAAAGGCTACTACAAACAACTGTATGCCAATAAAATGGACAACCATGAAGAAATGGACAAATTCTTGGAAAGGTACAATTTTACAAGACTGAACCAGGAAGAATTAGAAAATATAAACAGACCTATCACAAGTAATGAAATTGAAACTGTAATTAAAACTCTTCCAACAAACAAAAGTCCAGGAGCAGATGGCTTCACAGGTGAATTCTATCAAACATTTAGAGAAGAGCTAACATGAATACTTCTCAAACTCTTCCAAAAAATTGCAGAGGGAGAAACACTCCCAAATTCATTCTACAAAGCCACCATCATCCTGATACCAAAACCAGAAAAAAGGTATCACAAAAAAAAATTATAGACCAATATCACTGATGAACATAGATGCAAAAATCCTGAACAAAATACTAGCAAACAGAATCCAACAGCACATTAAAAGGATCATACACCATGATCAAGTGGGATTTAACCCAGGGATGCAAGGATTCTTCAATATACGCAAATCAATCAATGTGCTACACCACATTAACAAATTAAGGAATAAAAACCATATGATCATCTCAATAGATGCAGAAAAATCTTTTGACAAAATTCAATACCTATTTATGATAAAAACTCTCCAGAAAATGGGCATAGAGGGAACCTACCTCAACATAATAAAGGCCAAATATGACAAACCCACAGCAAGCATCATATTCAACGGTGAAAAGCTGAAAGCATTTCCACTAGGATCAGGAACAAGACAAAGATTTCCACTCTCACCACTCTTATTCAACATAGTTTTGGAAGTCCTAGCCACAGCAATCAGAGACAAAAAGGAAATAAAAGGAATACAAATTGGCAAAGAAGAGTAAAACTGTCACTATTTGTTGATGACATGATACTATACATAGAAAATCCTAAAGATGCCACCAGAAAACTACTAGAACTAATCAGTGGATTTGGTAAGGTTACAGGATACAAAATTAAGGCACAGAAATCTCTGGCATTCCTATACACCAACAATGAAAAATCAGAAAGAGAAATTAAGGAAACACTCCCATTTACCACTGCAACAAAAAGAATAAAATACCTAGGAATAAACCTGCCTAAGGAGGCAAAAGACTTGTACTCAGAAAACTATAAAACACTGATGAAAGAGATCAAAGATGACATAAACAGATGGAGAAATATACCATGTCTTTGATTGGAAGAATTAATATTGTGAAAATGACTATACTACCCAAAGCAATCTACAGATTCAATGCAATCCTTATCAAACTACCAACAGCATTCTTCACAGAATTAGAACAAAAAATCTTACAGTTCGTATGGAAACATAAAAGACCCCAAACAGCCAAAGCAATCTTGAGAAAGAAAAACGGAGTTGGAGGAATCAGGCTCCCTGACTTCAAACTATACCACAAAGCTACAGTAATCAAGACAGTATGGTACTGGCACAAAAACAGAAATACAGATCAATGGAACAGGATAGAAAGCCCAGAGATAAACCCACACACATAATGGGCACCTAATCTACAACAAAGGAGGCAAGATCATACAATGGAGGAAAGAAAGCCTCTTCAATAACTGGTGCTGGGAAAACTGGACAGCTACATGTAAAAGAATGAAATTAGAACCCTCCCTAACACCATACACAAAAATAAACTCCAAATGGATTGAAGACTTAAATGTAAGACCAGACAGTATAAAACTTTTAGAGGAAAACATAGGAAAAACACTCTTTGACATAAACCACAGCAAGATCTTTTTTGAAAAATGGTTCTGATGAACCTAGGGGCGGGACAGGAATAAAGACACAGCCATAGAGAACGGACTTGAGGACATGGTGGGGAAGGAGAAGCTGGGACGAAGTGAGAGAGTAGCATTGACATATATACACTACCAAATGTAAAATAGATAACTAGTGGGAAGCAGCTGCATTGCACAGGGAGATCAGCTCGGTGCTTTGTGACCACCTAGAGGGGTGGGATAGGGCGGGTGGGAGGGAGGCTCAAGAGGGAGGGGATATGGGAACATGTGTATGCATATGGCTGATTCACTTTGTTGTGCAACAGAAGCTAACATGGTATTGTGAAGCAATTGTAGTCCAATAAAGATCTATTTAAAACATGGTAAAAAAAAATACATATAGGGCTTCCCTGGTGGCGCAGTGGTTGAGAGTCCACCTGCCGATGCAGGGGACATGGGTTCGTGCCCCGGTCCGGGAAGATCCCACATGCCGCGGAACGGCTGGGCCCGTGAGCCATGGCCGCTGAGCCTGCGCGTCCGGAGCCTGTTGCTCTGCAACGGGAGAGGCCACAACAGTGAGAGGCCCGCGTACCACAAAAAAAAAAAAAAAAAAAAAAAAAAAAATACATATATATATTAGAGAGTAGTCAAAAGACAGGAATAGTCTATGCACATAAAAACAAATTAGCTGGTAAACATATAAAAAATGTAAGAGAATTAATAAAGGTGCTGATTATTATAGTCTCTTATTTCCTCCTGCCCTCTAGGCATTTGCTCTTTAATCACTTGAACTGCATTTCATCAAATGGACCCAGGAAGGAATGGCAAGAGAAATCTCAATCGTTCTATTTCACTTCTCATTAGCAGTCCTGGAAAAAGATTTAAAAGATTAAAAACTCAAAATTAGCTCATTACAATGAGTTTTGGAAATGACCTATAGACTTTAATTCACAACTTGGTCTTCAATTCAGATTCTTGTGGTCTCCCATGACCCTAAATATTTGATAAATCCTAGTTCCTAAATGGCAAAAACAAAAGTAATAAGTCATGTGAAAAATAGGTTTTCCTTAAATAAAGAAAAAGTGTTGGCCTCTGCCAGTGGTCTTACTTTTATCAGGAAAGTAAGTAGCCAATAGAATGGAAGGCAACCAATGGATTTATATACCATGAATGGAGGTTTTCCTTTTCAGAAACAATATGAAGGAAGTAGTATAACATAGTGGTTCAATGCATAGGCTATACAGTCAGATTGTCTATATCTGAATATTTACTTCACCACTTACTACCTATGTGATCTGTAGCAAATAACTCCATCTCAGTTTCCTCATCTTAAAAATGAGGAAAACAGGGCTTCCCTGGTGGCGCAGTGGTTGAGAGTCCGCCTGCCGATGCAGGGGACACGGGTTCGTGCCCCGGTCCAGGAGGTTCCCACATGCCGCGGAGCGGCTGGGCCCGTGAGCCATGGCCGCTGAGCCTGCGCGTCCGGAGCCTGTGCTCTGCAGCGGGAGAGGCCACAACAGTGAGAGGCCCGCATACCGCAAAAAAAAAAAAAAATGAGGAAAACAGTAAAATCTATGTCTTAGGGTTGTTGTGAAGATTAAATAAGTATATTTTAGCTCTTACAGCAGCATCTGGCATACCATAAAACCTCAACATATGTTAGCTGCTGTGGTTCTTATTATTACTAGTATTACTACAATAACTACTACCATTATCACCACCACTAGCAACCTGCAGTTGCTAAAAGTTTGGCATTGATTCAGAAACACTATAGCAAAACAAAAGAAACACATATGCACACCCACCCCCAGAGGTTGAAAAAGTGAAAGAGAACTGATTTCAAGTCAGTCCTTCAGTATCTCTTCAAGCTGTTCTGAGAGAAGCTGAGAAGATACCAATATATCAACAATGCATGGCTCTTTTCAAGAAGGAAAATGTGTGGTCTGGATAAATTAATCTCAGAAGAAATGACAAGTTCTCTCACTCAGTTAATCGTTTATCAAACTTTACTGAGGCTTACTATACTATGTATCAGGTATTGAGCCATATACTAGGAATACAAATGGAAGATTCTATACCTTTAAAATTTTTGCTTTCTTGTCAAAGAAATATACATAGATTATAATATATGATAGGTTTTACGATGGATGTATGTACAGGGTACTACGGAAGCAGAGAAAGATCTAAGCTAGACTGTGGAGAAGGAGGAAACAGCATGAAGATTTCCCAGAGGGGGTAACATTTAAACTGAGCCTTAAAGGATAATAACAGATAAATGGGGACAGAATGGGAGAAAACATTCCTCCAGGGGTAAAAGCAGGCAAATGGAGAAAAAAGAGTACCATTGCCCTACCTATAGCCACACAAAACCAAAAGATCTCTTCTTAAAGCTAAAGGACAGATAGCCATTGGCAGTATGGGCCTGAATAAGGTATATTTCTGGAATATCTCTTGTTTATACATACCACATCTCCAACCTCCCCAACTCAAAATAAGCCACATTTGGAGAACTGACAGAAAGTTGTGATTAAGAAGCGATTCAAAGACAAGTTTCTCACTTACAACACTGGGCGGCAGCAGTAGGCAATGGTTTCCTCTGGCTTTCTTCTTGACTAGAATACTAGAGGCAGAAAGGATTAAAAAAAAAAAAAACATAGTAAGAGGCCCAAGTAAAGAAGAAGGAGAAAAACAAGACAAAACAAAACAACAAGAAAAAAACTATAGCTACCTATAAAAAGGTTTAGCATTTGACTAGAGTCAAATTTCTTATCAAACAGAAACTGATCATCCTGCTGCTGATTTCCCTGTGTGATCCTGACATACAGGCCAGACTAACAGATATGGCATTGGCCCAATGCAACAGGCTAAAGCAGGATAGCAGGAAGGCTGTTCTGACCAAGGGCACCTGGGCACCATTCCAGCTCTACCAGGCAGCTGTAGAAGGCTTAGCCTTAGAAGCTCAGAGGACTTAGAAAACTCAAATAATATATAGATTTCCCCATTTGGGTGGTAGAACTGAAAACTTCTCTGAGACTTGAGTTTTCTCCATCTTTAAAAAGATGAGGCTTCTTCCCTCACAAGGTCACTTACATAAGCATGTAATACAACATCTGGTATTTACTAGTGTCCCCTTCCCAGTTATACTCTAACCTCCCCAACACAACCCACCACTATCACCACCTAAAAACAGAGTACTGAAGCCATAGAAAGAAAGTCCTATAAAAGGGAGCCAAATTAAGTTCAATTCTTGAAGATGGACAAGATTTGGGAAGGCAAAACAAAAAGAAAAAGGTATAAACAAATGAACACAGGTACACAGAGTCTGGAAGAAAAAATGGCTTGGTTCAGAGCCCATTGGAGGATTGGGAAAACATAACTTGGTCTAGCAACTTGCAAATATAAGTTGCAAATATGAGTTTTCATCCTGACTCTGCCATTTATTAATAAATTGTAAGATTCTGGGCAAGATAGAGCTTCTCTAACACTGAAGGAGTCAGTCATTCAACAGATATTTCTTGAGTGCCTATTATGTGCAAGGCCTTGTTCCAGGAACTGGGGGAATAGAGTTTGTAATCATGGTAAAGAGTTTAGATTTTACTCTAGTCTATTGAGAAGGTATGTAAAGTTTTAAACACTAGAGGGATATGACTTCATTATACTTTAAAAATCACTCTGGCTGCTGTGTGAGAAGAACTATAGGCAACCAGAGGGGAAATAAGACTAATTATTGCAATTATCCAGATGAAAATTGGTGGTGGTTTACACATGAGTGCTAGTGGTGAAGGGCATTTCAAGTGGTTGGATACAAAATACAAAACACTTTTTGTATATAAATATACTTTTATATATAAAGTACTTTACAAGAAACAAACTACAATACAAATATCAGAGGTAGACAGTGCTATTACTACTTCGGGGAAGGATCAGAAGTCAAGCACAGTTTAAACAATATAATAGTATTAGTAAAACTATCAATCATAAAAAAGTTCAAAACTTCTTAAAGGCTAAACAACCCACTCCAAAGTAACAAAGGGACTTGGTTATAATAACTATTATAAATAATGGTGATTTTTATAGGCAGTACACAGGCACAACAGTGACGAAATCATAAAACTTTAAGCATTAAACTAGAAGAATTCAGACTTAAGAGATGAGAGTAGATATTTCCAGCAGACATATTTAATGAATCTCTTTCAGGTCCAAAGCAGAAAGCTGAAGACCAGCTAGAGCCTAATTAATAATATTAAGAGAGCTAAGGAAAAAAATCCATAATACCTATGTACAAGAAAATAAAAGTAGTAAAAGTAAGGAAAATTATAGGCCAATCTCATTTATGAATACAGATGCAAAAATCCTAGATTACCAAACCAAATCATATGACATTTATTTATCATAAATAAGTCTTTATATTTCTGTGTGAATATGTACGTATACGTATGAATGCTGGCATATAAATTTTCATGTATCATGACCAGAAGGACTTTAAATGAAAGGACAGTTCAATATCTGAAAATCTATTCATGCAATTCACTACACAAACAGACTAAAGGAGAAAAACTATGTGATCAAACAATGCAGAAAAGATCTTGATAAAATCCTTACTTTTTCATGACAAAATATCTTAGAAAATCAGAAAGAAAATAGAATTTCCTTAATCTGATAAAGGGTACCTATCAAAATCTACAGCAAATATCATACTTCAAGATTTATGAAGCATTCCCCTTATAGTCAGGAAAAAGACAAGGCTTTCCCACTTTCACCATTAAAAATTACACAGGATGTTTTACACAATGAATTTTTAAAAATAAGCGGTCACCAAAAACAAGGAAAGTCTGAGAAAATATTACAGCCAAGAGAAGCCTAAGGAGATATTACAACTAAATGTAACCCAGTGTCCATTACGGGGTAATGGAACTGAAAAAACGCATGAAATAAAAACTAAGGAAATTTGAAAAAAAACTAAGGATTTTTATTTAATAAAACAAAATAAATAGAAATATAAAATATTAACTTTTAGTTAATAATAATATATCAATATTGGCTCATTAATTGTAATAAATGTACCATATTAATGTAAAATGTTAATAATAAGGAAAACTAGAGGGAGGGGGCAGGTAAGATGTGATATGGAAGCCCTCTCTACAAACTGCTTAATATTTAAGTCTGTTAATAAAAACATGTAAAAATTTCACTTAAAAAATAAGACATAAGGATTGAAAAGAGATAAAAACTTATTATTCAAAGATGCAAAAACTAAAAAACCCAAAGGAATCTCTAAACTAGTAGAATTAATAAGAGTTGGTGAATAAGATCGATACTAAAAAAAAAAATTGAGCAGCATTGCCTTATATAGATAGCAATGACCTATTAGAAAGTGTAATTTTTAAATATACCATTCACAATGATTAGGAATAAACCTAACAAAAGAAGTGTAAAAACTGCATGGAGAAAATAGGTTTTCCTCCTAGAAGACTTCTCATCTTTTGATGCTTAACTATATTTATTAGGTTCCTGCTTATTGTCTGTCTCCTCCTATTTGATCCAAGAGGACATTGGTCTTTGTTTTAACTTCTGATGTATACCAAGCACCTATGACAGGGCCTGGTACACAGTGTTCAATAAGTTATCTGGTGAATAAATGACTAAATGAATGTCACCAATAAATGGACAAATGCAAATTTAAATGATAAAGCTCTAAACTCATTAGATTAGCACAAATTTTAAATCTGGCAATAACAAGTATCAGTAAGGATACAGAGCAGCAGAAAAACTGGAATATAAATTGGTATAATTATTTTAGAGAACAACTTAGCAACATCTAGTAATGTTACACAGAGCACATTCCACAACAAAGCAATTCTATTTCCAGGTATATAGCCAGAGAATCTCCCATACATAAGCAGAGAGAAACAGGGTCAGAGATGTTCACTGAAGCATGCATTTATAATAGTGAAAACCTAATTTTCCATGAGTAGGAAAAGTAATAAATAGTGATACATTTTCACTCTGTCAAGTGGTAGATCCCTAGGCCAGTCTTGACCCAAGAGGCTGCTGTGGATGGGAACTGTTGCACACCATAAGAAAAAAAGAGATAAGATTCTACATTGTGTTTTTAAAATGGTTTTGCAGCAAGTATGACCAAATTTTGATAATCACTGAATCTTGGAGATAAGTGTACAGGTTTCATTTTACTAGTCCTTCAACTTTTATATTTGTTTAAAATTTTTTCATGATAAAAATAGAAAAAAGAAAGGAAAACGCTCCCACTAACCAAAGATGAGACGAGTTTAGTATCAAAAAGAATAAAGATTGCAATGGATTGAAACACAAATATATCAAAATCCATAAATTGATAATAATATGCCACTAAAAAAAAGAAAACAACTCACTGGTCACCTTGAGAAGCTGCTTATGCAACACTCATTATTTTGAAAATTGCTAAAGAGAATGTTTTTCTTGCACGGACTTTATTTCAAGTGAACCAAATAGCTGATGAGGCAGACAAATCATAGATAATAAATGCTGAAGAGATGATATAATTAGAAAATCATCATTGTGCAACCCTAATAAAATAATGATTATTATTTGCTGCTAAAACCATTAGGTAAAAGGCTTGTGGGATCACTTTAAAATGGATGAAATAGGCTGACACCAAGTTGAATCCACTGTGTAATTTTAACATCACTAAAAGAGAGGCAAGATATAATCTGCCTACAAAAAAAAAAAAAGATATGTTGTGAAATCCTAATCCCCAGTACCTATGAATGTGACCTTATCTGGAAATAGTCTCTGCAGATGTAATCAAGTTAATCCAATGACTGGTGCCCCCACAAAAATCAATGGAAATTTGAACACAGACACAAAAAGAGATGACAACGTATTGTGAGGACAGGCAGACACAACCCAGGAAGGCATGTGATAGTGGAGACAGAGACTGAAATAATGTGTCTATAAGCCAAGGAACAGCAAAGACTGCTAGGAAGCACCAGAAAGTAGAAGAAAGGCATGGGACAGCTTCTTCCTCAAAACCTCCAGAAGGAACTGATCCCACCAACACCTGATGTCAGAATTTTAGCCACCAGAACTGTGAGAGAATAAATTTCTGTTGCTGTAAGCCAACAGTGTGTGGTACTTTGTTTTGGCAGCCCTGGGAAACTAACACATGCATCAAATCACTGCATTTTGGCTTCCTGTACTAGCCTATGGATATTGACCATTAATTGACAAATCCAATGGCTCCACTTCATTACTCATCTTCTTTGCTCTCGGTAATATTTCACACTGTCAAGAATTTCTGCCTCAAAACTTTTTTTTTCCTTTGCTCCATAAACCTTTTTCTGGTTCTCCTACTCTCTCTTTCAGGCAGCTCTTTCTCAGTCTCTTTTGTTTCTCAGGAATCTACCTTTGATGTTTCCCAAGGTTTTGTCCCTGTTCTTCAATACTCTTTCTACATACTTTACCTGAGTGAGCTCTTCTATTCCTATGACTTCAATTGCTACAAATATGTTGATAAATCCAAACTCTATACCCGACCTCATCATACCCTGAGCTTCAGATTCTCACATGAGGTTGCTTACCAGACGTTTCCTAACAGGTTGCTTACCAGACAAATTTTCTAATAGCCCGACATGCCCTAAAGTAAAAAAACTTATCTTTTCCCTCCACCTCCACCAACAAAAACACTCCCCATTCTTGCTGGCCCAGGTTGAGCTGATTGTGTTCTATTCTGTGCACAAAACTCATCACTGGAAATAAGTTAGGACAGCAGGACTAAGCAATGCAATAGTCTAAACTTTCCTAAAAAGAGCACACAATAAGGATACATATCCAAAAATCTGGGAACAAGCAGAAAAAAAAGGCTTCTGCTCATCTGTGTAAAAAGAGGACAGATTCCCTAGTATAAGCTTGCTCCCCAACAGTCTAGAGCCAGACTAGGGCCAATTCAGCCACTTCTGGGGGACAATGGGAAGAAAAGAAAAAGCAGATAGATCTTTCTAATAATAGGCAATCTTCTAGCTACCTTTATTCTCTAATGCAGTTTAAATTCTTTCATTCTTCAACATGTTCCTGGGTCGCTCCCTTAAAGCATCCTATAAAGACACTCTTTACATTGTAAAAAACAGTTCCTACCTCATTGTCAGTTCCCAAGGCATTGATTTGCTCCAATTTGTAGGTCCAATATCTGGCTTCCTCCTCTGGGATATCTATCACAAAAAAGAAGAAACCACATTACCAGGCTAATAATTTAATCATAGGTTGATAATACTTTATTTAATCATACAATCTAAGTTAGAAGGGTGGTGGTGATGGACTAATTTTACTGATGGCTTGGTTCTTGCCATGAACATTATCTTGAATCTTCACAAAAACCAAAATAATATATTATTATTCCCAATGGATCAGAAGACTTAATATTGTTAAGATGTCAATACCTCCTAAAGTGATTGAAAGATTCAACACAGTCGCTATTGAAATCCCAATTTTTTTTTTACAGAAATATAAAACCCAATCCATATGGAATCTCAACAGACCACAAATACCCAAAATATTCTTGAAAAGGAAGAACAAAGCTAGAGGACTCATACTTCCTTATTTCAAAACCTATTAAGTAGGTTTTGAAATAGGTAACCCTATTTAGTAGGGCTTCCCTGGTGGCGCAGTGGTTAAGAATCTGCCTGCCAATGCAGGGGACACGGGTTCGAGCCCTGGCCCAGGAAGATCCCACATGCCACAGAGCAACTAAGCCCATGCGCCACTACTACTGAGCCTGAGCTCTAGAGCCTGCAAGCCACAACTACTGAGCCCATGTGCCACAACTACTGAAGCCCACGTGCCTAGAGCCCGTGCTCTGCAACAATAGAGGCCACAGCAATGAGAAGCCCGCACACTGCACCAAAGAAAAGCCCCTGCTTGCCACAACTAGAGAAAGCCATTCACGGCAATGAAGAACCAAAGCAGCCAAAAATAAATAAATTAAATAAATAAAATTTTTTTAAAAGCTATAGTAAATCAAAACGGTATGCTACTGACATAAAGACAGACATATAGACCAATAAAAGAGAATAGAGCGCCCAGAAATAAGCCCTTACATATATGATCAAATGATATTTTTCAAGGGTACCAAGAACATTCAATGGGGAAAAGCGTTCTTTCAAGAAATGGTGCTGGGACTTCCCTGGTGACACAGTGGTTAAGAATCTGCCTGCCAATGCAGGTGACACTGGTTCAAGCCCTGGTCCAGGAAGATCTCACATGCCACGGAGCAACTAAGCCCGTTGCCACAACTACTGAGCCTGCGCTCTAGAGCCTGTGAGCCACAACTACTGAGCCCTTGTGCCACAACTACTGAAGCCCATGCGCCTAGAGCCTGTGCTCCGCAACAAGAGAAGCCACTGCAACAAGAAGCCCGTGCACCACAACAAGGAGTAGCCCCCACTCACCACAACTAGAGAAGGCCCGTGCACAGCAACGAAGACCCAATGCAGCCAAAAATAAATAAATAAATAAAAATTTTTTTAAAAGAAGAGAAATGGTGCTGGCACTACTAAATATAAAATGGACAGAAAACGGGGATCTGCTGTATAGCACAGGGAACTATACTCAATATTTTGTGGTAACCTATGAGGGAAAAGAATCTGAAAAAAAACAGATGTCTATGCATTATAACTGGATCACTTTGCTATACACCTGAAACTGACACAACATAGTGGATCAACTATACCTCAATTAAAAATTCAAAAATAAATAAAATCTTATTTTTAAAAAAATAATTTTTTTTTTAAAAAGAGAGAAAACATAGGCAGAACACTCTCTGACATAAATCACAGCAAGATCTTTTTCGATCCACCTCCTAGAATAATGAAAATAAAAACAAAAATAAACAAAAGGGAACTAATGAAACATAAAAGCTCTCACAGCAAAGGAAACCATAAACAAAATGAAAAGACAACCCATAGAATGGGAGAAAATATTTGCAAACAAAGTGAACAAAAAGGGATCAATCTCCAAAATACACCAACAGCTCATGCAGCTCAATATAAAAAAACAAACAACCCGATCAAAAAATGGGCAGAAGATCTAAATAGACATTTCTCCAAAGAAGACATACAGATGGCCAAGAGGCACATGAAAAGATGCTCAACATTGCTAATTACTACAGAAATGCAAATCAAAACCACAATGAGGTATCACCTCACACCAGTCAGAATGGCCATCATTAAGAAATCTACAAACAATAAATGCTAGAGAGGGTGTGGAGAAAAGGGAACCCTCCTACACTGTTGGTGGGAAAGTAACTTGGTACAGCCACTATGGAGAACACTATAGCAGTTCCTTAAAAAACTAAAAATAGAGCTACCATATGATCTAGCAATCCCACGCCTGGGCATATACCTGGAGAAAACCATAATTCAAAAAGATATATGCACCCCAATGTTCACTGCAGCACTATTTACAATAGCCAGGACATGGAAGCAACCTAAATGTCCATTGACAGATGAATGGATAAAGAAGATGTGGTACATATATAACAATGGAATATTACTCAGCCATAAAAAAGAATGAAATAATGCCATTTGCAGCAAAATGGATGGACCTGGAGATTGTCATACTGAGTGAAGTAAGTCAGACAGAGAAAGACAAATATATGATATCACTTATATGTGGAATCTAAAAAACAAATGGTACAAATGAACCTATTTACGAAACAGAAATAGGGTCACAGATGTAGAAAACAAACTTATGGTTACTAATGGGGGGGAGGGATAAATTGCGACATTGGGATTGACATATATATAAAATAGATAACTAATAAGGACCTACTATATAGCACAGGGAATGCTACTCAATAATCTGTAATGACCTATATGGGAAAAGAATCTAAAAAAGAGTGGATATATGTATATGTATAACTGATTCACTTTGCTATACAGCAGAAACTAACACAACATTGTAAATCAACTATACGCCAATGAAAATTAATTTAAGAAAAAGAAAGAAATGGTGCTAGGATAACTGAGTATCTACAATGCACAAAATGAAGGTGGACCCTTACTTAACATCATATAGAAAAATTAACTCAAAATGGATCAAAACCTAAATGCAAGACCCAAAACTGGAAAACTCTTAGAAAAAGACATAGGGCCAAAACTGCACAACACTGGATTTAGCAGTGATTTCTTGGATAGGACACCAAAGGCACAGGCAACAACAACAAAAAATAGACAAATTAGACTTAATTAAAATTAAAAACTTTCTGCATCAAAAGACAGTATCAACAGAATGAAAAGGCAACCCACAGAATAGGAGAAAATATTTGCAAATCATATATCTGATAAGGGATTAATCCCCAGAATATATAAAGAACTCCTAAAACTCAACAATCACAAAAACCCAATTCAAAAATGGGCAAAGGACTTAACAGATGTTTCTCCAAAGAAGATATAAAAATAGCCGAAAAGCACGTAAAAAGATGCTCAATCATTAGGGAAATACAAGTCAAAACTACAATGAGATACCACTTCACACCCATTGGGATGGCTACTATCAAAAAAACAGGGAAAAAAAACAAAAAAAACAAAATAATAAGTGTTGGTGAGGATGTGGAGAAATTGGAACCCTCGTACACTGTTGGTGGGAGTGTAAAATGGTACAGCTACTATGGAGAACAGTATGATGATTCTTCAAAAATTTAAAAATAGAATTACCATATGATCCAGAAATTCCACTTCTGGGTATGTACCCAAAAGAACTGAAAGCAGAATCTCAAAGAGATATTTGCATACCCATGTTCACAGCATTATTCATAATAGCTAAAATGTGGAAGCAACCTAAGTGCCCATCAATGAATGGATAAGCAAAATGTGATATACACATACTAGGGAATATCATTCAGTCTTAAAAAGTGAGGAAATTTTGACATATGCTACAGCATAGATGAACCTTGAGGATATTATGATAAGTGAAATAAGCCAGTCACAAAAAAACAAATACTGTATGATTCCAATTATATGAGGTACTTAGAGTAGTCAAAATTGGAGATAGAAAGTAGAATGGTGGTTGTACTGGGGGGCCCCTGCCCTGGTGGTTCTGCCCCCAGGGGCTGGGGGCAGAGGGGAATGGGGAGTTATTGTTTAATGGGTATAGAGTTTCAGTTTTGCAAGATGAAAAGAACTATGGATATGAATAGTGGTGATGGTTGCACAACATTATGAATGTATTCATACCACTGAATTTTATCTTTTAAATGGTTGAGATAGTTAATTTTATGTTACATGTATTTTACCACAATAAAAAAAGAGTAAAGAAAAATGGTACACATACCCTCATTGTATATATTTAAGACGGAATATAACAACTTCCAAAAAAAATGCAACATCTTTTAAAAACATCAAATGTGGGCATCCCTGGTGGCACAGTGGTTAAGAATCCACCTGCCAGTGCAGGGGACACGGGTTCGAGCCCTGGTCCGGGAAGATCCCACATGCTGCGGAACAACTAAGCCTGTGCGCCACAACTACTGAGCCTGCACTCTAGAGCCCGTGAGCCACAACTACTGAAGCCCGTACGCCTAGAGCCTGTGCTTCACAACAAGCAAAGCCACCGCAATGAGAAACCCACACACCGCAAGGAAGAGTAGCTCCCGCTCCTTGCAAGTAGAGAAAGCCTGCGTGCAGCAATGAAGACCCAACGCAGCCAAAAAGAAAGAAAGAAAATAAAAATTAAAAAATCAGAGTTGATTTGGCTCCAGAGCCTGGGCTTTTAATTTAAACTGTAATATATTTAACCACTCCTCTTGTTGGGTACTTAGATTGTTCAAAGTTTGTACTATTATAAATAGTACTGCAATAAACATCCTTGTAGCTCTGTATTTTTCTCCTTAAAACTATTTTGAGGGGTGAGGCAGTAATACATGCACAATGGTTTAAAAAGTTACTCAGGGAAAATTAGGTCTCCCTCACAAATCAGTTATCTTTCTTTCTTATAGGCTACCACAATTAATACTTTCTTGTATATCGTTCCAGGGGCAGTCTTTGAATCTATAAGCATATATGTAGACCCCCAACCCCTATTAAAAACACAAATAGTAGCATATTCTAACACATTCACTGTCCCTTGCTGTTTTCTACTTAACAATGTATCTTGGTGAATTTGTTCTACATCAGAACTTAGAGACTGCAGCAGAGCAGCTCTTCCTCCCCTCTCACTTATTTTCAACAAGTGCAAATTAAACCATTTTATGGCTGAGGAGTGCTGTACAAATTAGGTAGTAAATTACTTGAAGGTTTTATTATAAGACTTTGAAATATTGCCACAGAGCGGTTTGAGGGGAAGGAGGTGAAATTTTGGATAGGAGGGACAAAGGAGAAAGGACTGTATTTGATTCCTTCATGTGGATTACTAAAAAGTGTACCTGTTTAAATGTCACCAAAGTTGACCTGATCCATATTTTGTCTCAGTGCTTCTCTTTTGTGCTGAACATATGGGTACGTTTGATTTTCTTTTTTAATTTTTTTTATTATTTTTTTTTGCCAAATCAGAAAAAAAAAATACCATTTAAAGTCTCTAGAAATGGTCCTAAGAGCACACAGCAAATGAAGAAATATATATTCAAGAAAATCTACTACAACTTTAAGAATAGCCAATTTTGAACCAAGACCCATCCCCACCCACCCCCCTCCCAATTCAACAAGACAGAAACTCCATTCCAGACTAGTACAGCTGAGAACACAGCATTAAGAATACAAGCAACTAAGCCACAAGTAAGAACTCCAGTTGCTTTTCTCTTCACCTGCAACTTGGCCTACAGACACACAAGAAAGTCTTCTTTTCTATTTTTCTGAAGTAATAGTTGCTCTGAGTTTAGTTATTTCTGAGCTTACTGGAAAATCATGCCATTTTTGCTCAAATCACCATAAGGTACAAGATATAAATAGATTGAAATCATAAGACAGCAGCAACAACAATAGTATACATGAATATCAGTAAACAGTCAAAATTAAAACTGAATAAAGTTAAATTAAATTAAACAAGATACCAACATTTTAAGATTGGGAAATTACAGGGGCTTCCCTGGTGGCGCAGTGGTTGAGAGTCCGCCTGCCGATGCAGGGGACACGGTCCGGGAGGATCCCACATGCCGTAGAGCGGCTGGGCCCATGAGCCATGGCCGCTGAGCCTGCGCGTCCGGAGCCTGTCCTCCACAACGGGAGAGGCCACAATAGTGAGAGGCCCGCATATCGCAAAAATAAAAAATAATAAAAAATAAAAATAAAAATTGGGAAATTACAAAATGTTGGCAAAGATATGCAGAAAAGAGACACCTGAGACATAGTTGGCAGAAATATAAACTTGGTACAATCTTTTTTTTTTTAACACAAGCAACTTGGCAGTACTAGGAAGAGTAACGATGCACATACCTTGTGACCTATTCTTTATTTAATTAATTTTTATTGGAGTATAGTTGGTTTACAATGTTGTGTTAGCTTCTACTGTACAGCAAAATGAATCAGCTATACATATACATATATCCCCTCTTTTTTGGATTTCCTTCCTTTTAGGTCCCCAGAGTAGACTTGCCTGTGCTTTACGCAGTATGTTCTCATTAGTTATCTCTTATACATAGTATCAGTAGTGTATATATGTCAATCCCAATCTCCCAATTCCTCCCACCTGCCCTGCTTTCCGCCTTGGTATCCATACTGTTTGTTCTCTACGTCTGTGTCTCTATTTCTTCTTTGCAAATAAGATCATCTATACCGTTTTTCTAGATTACACATATATGCCTTAATATACGGTATTTGTTTTTCTCTTTCTTTCTGACTTACTTCACTCCGTATGACACTCTCTAGGTCCATCCACAACTCTACAAATGACCCAATTTCGTTCCTTTTTATGGCTGAGTAATATTCCATTGTATACATGTACCACATCTTCTTTATCCATTCCTCTATTGATGGACATTTAGGTTGCTTCCATGTCCTGGCTATTGTAAGTAGTGCTGCAATGAACATTGGGGTGCATGTGTTGTTTTGAATTATGGTTTTCTCTGGGTATATGACCAGTAGTGGGATTGGTGGGTCATAGGGTAGTTCTATTTTTAGTTTTTTAAGGAACCTCCATACTGTTCTCCATAGTGGCTGTACCAATCTTCTTTCCCATCAACAGTGTAGGAAGGTTCCCTTTTCTCCACACCCTTTCCATTATTTCTTGTTTGTAGATTTGACCTGTTCTTTAAATTCTACTTTAAGGAATTTATCCTAGATTCATAAATGGGCATAGATAAGCTAAATGAACAGCTAAAGCTGTTCATTACAGTGGTATATCAAAAAAAACTGGAAACAACCTACATGTCAATCAATAAAGGATTGCAAACAAAAAAAGGACTGGTTAGATAACTTATGATATAAAGCAGCTGTTGAGATCAGCGAGATAGATCTTAAAGTATAACATGAAATGATGTCCAAGATAATATGCTTTAGTTTATACAATACTATCACCATATATAGTACATAGAGTATGACCCAAATTTTGTCAAAATAAATTTCTAGAGAAGAAATTTCTTGTGCCTAAACCAAGACACAAGAAAGTTAACAGTAGTTTATTTCTGATTTCTGGGGAATGCAAAGGAGGTCAAAAGGAGGAAGAGAAACTTAACTTTTTATCCATGTACATTTCCATGCTATTTGAATTTTTATAAGGAACATGTATTTTTGTGTGATTTTTTTCTTTTTTCTTTTTTTGGCTGTGTTGGGTCTTCATTGCTGCGTTGGCTTTCTCTAGTTGTGTTGAGCCGGGGCTACTCTTCATTGTGGTGCATGGGCTACTCATTGCAGTGGCTTCTCTTGTTGCGGAGTACAGGCTCTAGGCGCCCGGGCTTCAGTAGTTGTGGCTCGCAGGCTCTAGAGCACAGGCTCAGTAGTTGCAGCGCATGGGCTTAGTTGCTCCACGGCACGTGGGATCTTCCCAGACCAGGGCTAGAACCCTGTCCCCTGCGTTGGCAAGTGGATTCTTAACCACTGAGCCACCAGGGAAGCCCTTTTTGTGTGATTTTTTAAATTACTTTGTAAATTACTATTCTATTTATTAGTGCTATTTCAATGCTTAAATTAACAAATCACAAGGTATATATTCACTTCAAGGCAATAAATGTTAAAATATTATCAAAAGAATAAATCATTGATATTCTCTGACAAGCAGGTATTTTATGATAATAAATAGTTATAAGAAACTAAATGACTTGAAAAGAATGCTTTCAGTGTGGATTCTTTAATGAGCACCATTCTAGAGTCTACTTTGCACATTCCTGAGCTAGGTGTTACAGGGAATAGAGTGGAAGACAGAATGCCCTGAAAGGATATGGCTGACAAAAGACACAGTAAGAAAACAACTAACAAACAATTTCAAACAATGTGGTAAAAAGTATTAAATGTTTTTTAAAATCTAATCAGACTCACCAAAAGGCAACTCAAATCTTGTATCCAGCAAAATTTTATGGGGAGTTGGGTTTTTAGTTCCACAGATCTCATCATCTTTCATTAATGTCTCTGCCTCCAACGTGGACCATTCCCCAGGCCCTTCCTAGAAAAGAGATCTAAGATTAAACTTCACTCATGACTCCTCTCTTGGTTAAAGGGCCAGGTGTTTTTCTCTCATTTTCCTTGTCAGAGAGCTTCTGAGGGCCATTCACATATCCTAATGAGGCAAACACAGCAGAGTCAGCACCTGCCTGTGCTGTATGTGGCTTCTGTTCTCCCTCTTTGGTGGGAGAGCAGCTTTCACTGTGCTCAGCTTTCTGCCAGCCCACTGAGGATAGAATTTCCAGAGCGCTAAACTCAAAAACAAAGCATCTCCAGGGATCAATATTTAATCTGTACAATACTTAATGACTATGTCACTTAATGTGTCACTATTTCTAATCACTAAAGAGCTAGTAACATGGCTAGTTAAGTTGACCTGAACTGGGACCACAGTGAAAATATTCAAAGTGAGTGTCATAGGGAAATGATGCTGAGTTATGTTCTAATCTGGTAAAGTGGAGTGGAAATTCAGTCTTGAAAATAGTGTATTAAGACAAGTGTGATTACCAATTGCCAAGCCTGTAGTTCCTTAAACTCTGTTAGGGTTATATGTGGAAGAAGGAAGACTGAAATCAGGTCCCTGGGATAGGTGACTCAAAGAGCTGGCTGAGGAAGTTTAATGGGACTCCTCTCAGAACAGTGTCTTAGCGGGAATGCAGAAGCCACAGCTATCCTAGATCTCTCTCTCTCTCTCTCTCTCTTTCTCTCTCTCTCTCTCTCTCTCTCTCTCTCTCTCTCTCTCACACACACACACACACACACTCTCTCCCTCTCCCCCCACCCCTCTCTCCCCCTCCCTCGCACTCCCCTCCTTCACCCTGCTGATCCCACCCACCCCACCACCACCACACACACACAGAGTACTCAGAAGGGGCTATCTACCTGATAAGGCTAAATAGGTACTCTGGCACCTCTGAGTTCAGTCACAGGGCAGAGGGAAGGCCTGAGATAAAATCCCCTGAACCTCTCGGTGACATTAGGAATAAGCTGGTTTTATGTCCTCTAATTAGAAAGGGGTCAGAGAAATCTGAGATATATGGATGAACATTAGCGGAATGGAGCTAGGATGTGGAGAAGCAAGGGCTAGAACCCTACCTCCAAATGGGCAGTGCACTGACTGACCTCATCTGACTGACGAATTGTCTTCAGTGCAATCCACACAGTCCCCACCATGGTGTCCCAGATCAGTCCTTTGTTCCATACTTCCACACTTAGACCCAGGTCCAGACGACTAATCTCACTGAAGGAAAGAAGAAAGCTCTTTTTTAGAAAACCAGGTAATATGAAAGAAACATCTACATCTCCTGTTTTGCTAAACCTTGAGTATGTCCTGATCAGGATCCTGTCATCAGGGAAAAATCAAAATGTCCCTCATCCTGCAACCACTCTTTAGGTTCCTAGAAACCTATGTAGGGTATGCACAGAAAAATGCCTCTGTCAGTCTATCCCCTCTCCTTTGGAGCTACAATCATGGTTAGACTAATACAGTTTCACAAGAACAATGAAGCCAAGCAATGAGGGCATTACTGCCAGGAATGTCTGCCTACAATCTCCAAACTTAAGCAACAGTTTTATGTGTTTTATTGTAATACTAGCACTGCCTGCAACTTATACCTCTGGATACAGGGAACTATGAGGAAAAAGCAAGGCTTCTTTATAACAAATATGAAAGGGAATCCAAGCAAAAGTAAAAGGGCCCATGAGAAGATCTAAGTTTGATGGGAACATGTGGTCAGAGGCAGGTGAGGGACACTGGAGTGTGCTAGTTCATTATCAGTTAAAGCAGGTACTGTCACTGATAAACAAAATGATCACAGGATAATGATAAACACAATGATTTTCCTGTAATAATAACTAGGAAAAATTATTTAATAAGAAATTATTCCAGGGAACCAGGTGACCACTAAGCAAAAGCAGTGTCATACATGGAAGAATATCAGCTTGGAAGGGCTAACTCAAAAATAATTATGGACTTAAGGTGAAACAGCAAACACTTATGTTAATGCTAAAAACATTCTCCAGAAAGCTCTTATGGAAACACAAGGTTATTTGAGGGGAAATGCAAGAAAGATGAGAAAAGGCCAATTCCAGCAGGAAAAGCAGAAAGGTATTCTCAGGAAAACAACAGCTATTCATCACATGTAGAAGTTTCAAGTTTGTGCTTTAGAGGTAGCTTGGCTTCCCTGTTGTACTATTAAGATACATGTTCTCAGATTTACTAGTTTGGGATGTGGCCTTATAGCCATAAAATTCATATCAAGTGTGTTGAAAACAAGTGAAGCAAAGCAAATTTGCCCCTTTTACATAAATACAGCAGAACAGAAAAGTACTGAGTTCATTTTTTTCATTTATGTTCACTGACATGTACAATTCATATGGCTTGGTACATTGGGGAAGACACACAATATAGGACCTAGCTCCTATCTCTAAAAACTTCCAAGCTATCTGGAGAGCTGTTCAAAACCAAAAAATAGGTGACCAAACCCAGCCACTATGTTAGGGCATTCACAGTGGGGAAACTGAGCTTTTGGCACACAGTTTCATTCAGCCTAATTAACTGATTAGCCTTGGAAAAATATATGTAACAACCCCAAATCTTTTGAATCTGGAAAAGAAAAATTGCTTGGGGATACATATACAATATTCCCAAAGCAAGTCCTAAATAGCGTCTCAAGCCAATAGCTAAAAGAAACAGCCAGAGGTCTTTCTTCACAGCTTGACTTGGACAGATAAAGAAGAAAATCTGTTCTTCAGGGAACTCTGGGGAATAAAGCCCAAACAATGAGGATATCTTCTGTGAGAAATCTCTTACCTACATCTGCTCAAATGGTCCAACTAAGAGAAGTCTGAGAGCTCTGTTTATGCCTCATCCCCAGAGCTCTGGGGAAGTTCCTGTTCTGTTAACTCAATCAACAGTATATGTGCACACATGTATACAAGATTCTGAGCTAGGCAAATTCACAGTAAGTGAAGATGACCTCCTTGCCCCTAAGAAATGAACAATCTAGTCCTGGAAATAAGACAAAGAAATACTAAAGATAAATGAGAAGTACCAAAATGAATATTAGATACTACCACATAATACATTAGGGAGAAAAAAAAAGGAGAAAGGGGAACAAGTGACCAGCAATGGAGTTACCAGTGACAGAAGAGCAGGATAGGAGGAATAAGGAATAGGAGCAGTAAGGTGGATAATGTAGCTAATAAAACCTGTGTGTAGAAGGAGAGAGGACAAAATTTACACAGCATCTCAAGGTGGGAGACAGAAGAAAAGTCACACATATCACAGTAGGTGATAGAGTAAGTGCTATGGGAAACTGGAAAATAAACAAGTCTCTCATATGTTGATGAGAGACTGCAGAAGATTGATATGTTTCACATGCTGGGAACAGTTATAACAGCGAGTGATTATTAGAGCCAACTGGAAATCAAAAGAAAGCAGGATTGCTAAGTTTATATACCACAGCCAGAACTGTGGTATGGCTAACAGGGAAGAGACTTGAAAAAACTGTTCATAGTTGACTTTACACGAGTGAAGAAAGAAACAAATGGTCTCACTCTGATGTCAATATAACAGATAGTAATAAATGAGGTTCATAATCTTGAGAGAGGGGCAACCAGTGAGAAATCTGACACCACTAGCCTCTTCTTGAAGCCCCAGTTCTTCAGCTTCCAGGACACTACTATCTCGTTTCTCCTTCTTGCTCTCTGTTCACTCCTTCCTAGTCCGCTTTGTCCCCTCTTTAAATGCTGATGCTCTCCAGGCTCTACCCCAGGCCCTCTTCTCACCCAACACACTCTCCCTAAGCTTTCTCATCTATGCCTATGGCTTCAACTGACCAAAATACTTCTCCAACCCAGGCTTCCATGAGTACCAGGTTCAAGTTTCTAACTTATCTTCTGTAACTTTCTTCTTACCTGTCCTATAAGAACTTCAAATATAAGCTTGTTCATAACTGATATATTATTATCTCCTATCCTAATGAGTAGCTCACCACTCACCCAATCATCCAAGACAAGTCTTGGTTCTACCTCCTTAACATCTTCTATCCATCCTTTTCTATCTATCCTTCTGTTACTGTCTTAGCCCAAACCCTCATAATCTTAACCTTTAACTATTATAACAAAGTTTCCTAAATGGTACTATAAGCAGCAATATATTAAAAGCCCAGAGGATTGGAATGTTTCCCCATAAAAGGAGTCATCCTATGTCTGAGATGGACTATAAAACTCACAAAGCAATTTCACTTCAATCACAAATTTCAATGCAATTTTAATACATTTTCTTGGTTGACCCCCTTGTGCCCACCTTCCCAAAAAATAAGCATAACCTTGTAAGCAAGAGTAGACCTTTACAGATAAGGAAACTGACACTCAGAAAAGCTAAGTGATTTGGTCAGCCCTTCAAAATGATTTTGTACATTTTTGTTCCCTTTCCTAGAGCAGAAAAAAAAAATTGCTGAAATTTAAGAGGAAAAAAGGAAATAGCAAGTTTTTAAAGCCAGAGCTTACAATCATAATATACTAAATTTTGTGTCATATGCAAGCAATTCTACTAATATTTACTCATTTTTATTAATTAGATGAAGGTAGAACATTTTACTCCGTAAAGCAAAAGGATTATAAGCACAGACATCCTCATCTTCGAAAGCAGGTGACTTGGAAACACAAACACAGTCCTCATATGCATAACCACATTCCTTCAAGAAGCCTTCCGAGAATCAAAGAAAGATTAAGTTAGGTTTAATATCATGCTCAGTATGTTATACTATACCTAATTCTGACCACTAGGAAAATCTGACTAGGTAGTGTTTTCACCCATGTAAACTGAGCGTTTACTCAAATTCATAATTCGTCTCTGAAAATAAATTACAAATTGGGAGACAACAAAACTGCAGATGTACTTCACCTACCACACACCTCATCTGTTCCTTTCTCTAGTTTTCAAAAAGAATATTTAACATGCTATTAAAATGTGTTTTTAAATATTTAACGTATTTTATAAGTCTTAGATATACACAAAATCTTCAGCCTCTACTTGTTTAATCCAATGTGATTACCTTGGAAATATTGTAGGCATGCTGCTGCTGCTGCAAAGTACTTACAACATAAAATCTTGTTCCCAGGAAGGTTGATCGCCACGGACTGCTACAGTTGTGCTCTTCACATTTTGCACTTTCAGGGTCACATATGTGTTAAATTTGTCTTTGAAAAAATGTAAACCAAAGATATAATACTTAGTGCTCAGATGGTTATCCAGTCTCACAAAGCCCTTGGAATTAAGTAATGTCCGTATTACAGTATATATAAGAAAAAATGGAATTATATATTGTACAATATAGCATCATTCTAAGCAGAGAGGTATAGAAAAATTAGAAAACACACACTATTCTCAAAAGCATAATCTACAATAGTGTTTTTCAAATTTAAGGACTATATTTTATATTTGACCAGTAGATACACATATACACACATATAAACAAAAACAAAAGCTTTATGAAATACAAGATGTGATACATTGATATTTTTATTCTAATTTTTAAAATATTAATCATAACTAACTAAATTGACTTTATAGCCCACCTGCAGTTTGGAAAAATAATAATCTAATTGATCTTACAGGAAAGATAAGATATGCAAATTAATAAATGTATAAAGAAATAAGTACCACAGAGAAAGCGAAAAAGTGCTAAAGGAAGGCAGAAGAGGAAAGAGTTACCTCTATTTGTTTACAGGGACAAGAATTGAGGAAAAATCCTCATAAAGGAAATGGATTTCAAGCTTGATCTATTCACCCTGGCCTAAAGCACAACTTACATTAAAAAAATATATATTATCACAGATTCAGAAAAAGGAAATTCTCTAACCTGAGAGTATAAATTGAGTACCAAACAAAGGTAGGCGGCCTGGATCTCAAAACTCAGAAATCTGACCTAAGACTTAACACAGCACATTTTGTTACTTCCTTTGTATCAGCCATGATGAGGGACGCTGAATTGAGAGTTCACTTCTCTATGTAAGAGTTAATCATAACTTTATAAAATGAAAAAAAAAGACTATCATTTTTGACTCATCAAGTTGCCAAAGATTGCTTAAAACAATTACCTATGTTAGAGGTGTGAGAAGATGGGCACTGTCATGCATTTCTAGCAGAAGGTAAATCTTTCTCTTAAGTATCATAAAAAACTATGTAGTCTTATACCTACAATTATTCTACAATTATACCAAAGATATATGAGGATACAAGCCCACCCACATGAGGGAATTCCCATCCATATTTGGTAGTAGCAATGCAGTATACCCCTAAGCTGTTTTCTATCATAGGATTTTGTACTCCATTCCCCATGTCCAATCATAGCTGACCAGACCAAAAGGAGATGCCACCCAAAAGCAGCCAGCCAATTCATAAGCTGACCAAAGGCTGAGACCAATATGATTCCCTCTCAAAAGATTTTCAGTAGGGAAAACAAAGAAATAGTAACAATTGATTGGTGCTGAAGCTTGAAGGAGAGGCATATAAATTCTATTGGAGCAGCCACTATGGGGTGTGTGCAAGACAGGTAAGCATAAAAAGCCTGCTGGATGAGAAAGGAGAGCAGAAAAGCTTTTCAGAAAGAAGAGAAGCCCTAACCCAGAGCCACTGGAGAGAGCAGTAGGCCCAGAAACTGCTTTAGTTCCTGTTGCACCCAGATTTGGTTTTTCAGATTTTCTTGGGTTCCCAATCGTGTTTTTTTCCCCATAATCCACAGTACCCTCCTTTTGCCCCCAGAAGGAACTAGAGTAAGTCTTTATAACTAACTTGACATTCAGTTAAGAAAATGTGTATTAAAATAAGGAGATACCATTTTCACCTTCAGATGAGCAAAGATTAAAAAGTTTCATATTATCTAATGTTGATAAGGATTTGGGAAAACAGACACCCATATACTTTTGGTCTGATTATAAGCTAGCAAAATTTTTCAAAAATGCAGTTTGGCAGCAGCTACAAAATTTGTTTAAAATACGTAACTTTGGCCCAACAATTCTCTACTTCTAGACTCTAGCATACAGATACATTTTCAAAAGCAGGCAATGTTAAATGCACAAGAACATTTACTGCTTATAATAGCAAAAAATTGAAATGACCTGAATATTTAATAAGGGACCTAGGGTACAACAAAATTCTGTACACTTTTTTTTTTACAGTAGGTTCTTGTTGGTTATCTGTTTTAAATATAGTAGTGTGTATACAACTCTTTGAAAGAAAGAACCAGATATACGTATACACACATATACACAAGAAAAGACTTTCATGGTATGTTGTTGGAAAAAAAGCAGGTTGCACAAAGACATGTGTAGCTGATCCATTAGTGTATACATGCACATACACAGTAAAACTCTGAAAAGGTATATAAAAGCCTCAAAATAGTTACTTTTGAGAAGCAGAATTGAGTTGGCCAAGAGGTAAGGAGACAAACTTTTCACCAGATTGATACAGATTAATGTTTTATGACAGCACTGTTTTTTTTTCAACTTTTTGAAGTGTAACTGGCAATTAAAAATTGCATATATTTAAGATGTACAACTTGATTTTATATATGTATACAATGTGAAATAATCACCACAATCAAGCTAATTCACATTCCTCACCACCTCATAATTAGCATTTTCTCTCTGTGTGTGCGTGTGTGCATGTGTGTGTGTTGAGAACGCTTAAGACCTACCCTCTTAGCAAATTTCAAGTATACAATACTTGTTAACCACAGACACATTGTTGTACATTAGCTCTCCAGAAATAATTCATTTTGCATAACTTAAACTTTGTACCCCCTTGACCAATCTCTTCCCATATTGATTTTTAATTAATTTAATGAACTTAGTGAATTTAACTAATTTAATCAATGAATCAAATGAAATTAATGATTTTTTGAAAGAACGTTTTTAAATCACAGCAAGTATGGGGAGGAGAACATAATAATTAAAGGCTGGCCTTACCTGGTGAACCCTGGAACTTGGCTCTTTTAACTGCAAGAGAGAAAAACAGGACACCGTGAAGAATTCTTGCAAGTTAATTTATTTAACCAGCATTTATTGAGTAACTACTATGTGCCACTAGAGTTAGGACTAGATTTTTAAGTCTAAGTCATTAGAGAAAAGAAGCTGGGACTTCTGATCAAAGCTTGAATGCAGAGAGTTAGAAGGGTCCTTAAAAGTCATCCAATCTAATCTCATACTCCATGCAGAAATCTCTTACAGCTTCCTGACAAAGAGGTAGAGGGAACTAAATTACTCCTACGGCACCCAATTTCATGTCAGATAACTTTCTAAGGTTTAAATTATTTATGTTCCTTATTTAAAACCCATCATAGGAACTCCCTCATTCCACTCATGCCAAAAGAAGACCTTAACAGGCCAGATCTGGACAACAGGTTATTTTTGGTTTTGGTTTTGGTTTTTTTTGCGGTACGCGGGCCTCTCACCGCCGCGGCCCCTCCCGTTGTGGAGCACAGGCTCCGGACACGCAGGCCCAGCGGCCATGGCCCATGGGCCCAGCCGCTCCGAGGCATGTGGGATCCTCCCGGACCAGGGCACGAACCCGTGTCCCCTGCATCGGCAGGCGGACTCTCAACCACTGCGCCACCAGGGAAGCCCAGGACAACAGGTTTTAAACAAGAGTGAGAAGTAACTTCTTTCTGGGAATAAGCAGATATCAAGAAGAGTTCCTGTCCAAATTAAAGGTATCCAAACTGGAAGAGAAGAAGTAAAACTGTCATTATATGCAGAAGACATGATACTAAATATATATACTGAAAACCCTAAAGACTCCACACAAAAACTATTAGAACTGATAAATGAATTCAGCAGGGTAGCAGGATACAAGATTAACATACAGAAATTGGTTGCATTTCTTTACACTAACGATGAAATATCAGAAAGGGAAAGTAAAAAAACAATCCCTTTTAAAATCACATCAAAAAATACTTAAGAATAAACCTCACCAAGGAGGTGAAAGACTTACACACCAAGAACTATAAAACATTGATAAAGGAAACTGAAGAAGATTTAAAGAAATGGAAAGATATCCCATGCTTTTGGATTGGAAGAATTAATATTGTTAAAATGGCCACACTACCCAAAACAATCTACAGATTTAATGCAATCCCTATTAAACTAAATTACATTTAGTTTAATAGAACTAAATGTAAGAGTTAAAACTATAAAACATCTAGAAGAAAACATAGGAGAAAATCTTACTGGCCTTGGGCGATTAGGCAAAGATTTCTTAAACTGGATACAAAAAGCATGAAGTTTAAAAGAAAAAAAGTGATAAACTAGACTTCTTCAGAAGTTAAAACATGTATTCCTCAAAAGACTCTGTTAAAAAGTTATAGACCAAGAGGAAATATTTGCAAAATGTATCTGATAAGACTGATAAAGGACTATAAAAAAAACTCAAAACTCAATATTAAGAGAGCGAAAACCCATATTTTTAAAATTGGACAGAAGATTTGAACAGACACTTCACCAAAAAAAGATACACAGGTGGCAAATAAGCACATGAAAAGAAGCTCAATATCATTATTCATCAAGGAAATGTTAATTAAAAACATAATGAGATAGCACTATATACCCACTAGATGACCTAAAATTTACAAATCTGACAGAACCAAGCGTTAATGAGGATGTGGACCAACTAGAACTCTCATATATTGCTGATGAGAATACAAAATGAAACAATCATTTTGGGAAACAGCTTAGAAGTTTCTTACAAAGTTAAACATATTTATCATATATTCCAGCAATTAGTCTTCTAAGTATTTACCCCAGAGGAATGAAAATTTATGTCCACACAAATACTTGTACATGAATGTTCATAAGAACATTATTGATAATAGCCAAAAACCTAGAAAGAACCCAAATGTCCTGATAAACAAATTGTGGCATATCTATACAATAGTATACTACTCAGCAATACAAATGAAAGAGTTACTGATACACACAACAAAAAAATGAATCTGAGAAGCAAATTTTGCTAAGTGAAAAAGCTAGACACAAGACTACATGTTGTATGACTCCATTTACATAACATGCTAGAAAAAGCAAAACCATAATAGAAAGTACAGCAGTACAAAGAAACTCAAGGAAACATTTTGGGGTGATGGAACTGTCTGTATCTCAACTATGGTCGTGTTTACATGACTATACTTATTGGTCAAAGATCAAAACTCCTAGCAGCAATCCCACACTTAGGAATTTACTCTATAGATAGATTCCACAGGTACAGAAAGAAGTTTATACCAGTTAATTAGTTAAAGCAATGTTTATAATAGCAAAAGATTAGGGGATTGATTAAATGTTAAATTATCTAAATGTGAAAAGCAAAGCTTTAGAATTTTCAGAAGAAAATATAAGGGAATGAATATCTCTGTATGATGGGTGAATGGATGGATGGATAGATATACAAGTTTTAGAATAAAAATCATGAAAGGAAAAACTACATACCAACTTTGAGAGTGATTATATCTTGGGAGAGAAGGGATTGAGACTGTAAAGGATGCTTCAACTTTATCCATAATATACTATTTTTTTAACCTTAACTAATATGAAAAACATTAACATGTTAAATCTAGGTGGTGAGTACATGATTATGTAATATATTATTCTCTATACTTTTTTCTTTCAAAAAAATTTTATTCTTGCATATGACATGGTCCTCTATGTTGAGCAGATGATATGATCATTTATGTAGAAAATCTAAGAGAATCAACCAAAAAGCTTCTGGAACTAAATAAGCAATCATGGCACAGTTGCAAAATACAAGGTTACTGTACAAAAGTCAATCACTTTCCTATATATAAACAATGAACAAGTGAAATTTGAAGTTAAAAACACATTACCATTTATATAAATCTAACAAATAGGTATAAATCTAACAAAATATGTATAAGATCTCTATGAAGAAAACTACAAAACTGATGAAAGCTATCAAAGAATGAAATAGATATTCCATGTTCATGGATAGGAAGACTCAATATTGTCAAGATGTCAGTTCTTCTCAACTTGATCTTTAAGTTCAATGCAATCCTAATCAACATCCTAGCAAGTTGCTTTGTGGATACAGGCAAACTGATTCTAAAGTTTATATGGAGAGGATAAAGACCCAGAACAGCCAACTCACTACTGAAGCAAAAGAACAAAGTTGGTGGGGCTTCCCTGGTGGCGCAGTGGTTGAGAGTCTGCCTGCCGATGCAGGGGACACGGGTTCGTGCCCCGGTCTGGGAGGATCCCACATGCCGCGGAGCGGCTGGGCCCGTGAGCCATGGCCGCTGAGCCTGCGCGTCCGGAGCCTGTGCTCCGCAACGGGAGAGGCCACAACAGTGAGAGGCCCACGTAACGCAAAAAAAAAAAAAAAAAAATAGAACAAAGTTGGAGGACTGATACTAACCAACTTTAAGACTTACTGTAAAGTGAATAGTAATCAAGACAGTATAGTATTAGGAAAAGAACAGACAAACAGACCAATGGAACAGAATAGAGAGCTAGAAATAGACCCATGTAAATGTAGTCAACTGATCTTCGACAAAGAAGCAAAGGCAATACAATGGTAGTAGCAATGACAGTCTTTTCAATAAATGGGGCTAGGAGAAATGGACATTTACACGTAAAAAAAATGAATCTAGACAAAGACCTTCACAAAAATTAACTCCAAATGGATCATAGACCTAAATGTAAAACATAAAACTATAAAACTCCTAGAAAATAACATAGGAGAAAACAGATGACCTAGGGCATGTGATGGTCTTTTAGAAACAAGAGGAATAATTCACGAAAGAAATAACTGATAAGCTGGACTTCATTAAAATTAAAAACTTCTGCTCTGTGAAAGACAATGTCAAGAGAATGAGGAAATAAGCCACATACTAGAAGAAATATTTGCAAAAGACACACCTGATAAAGGACTGCTATCCAAAATATACACAGAACTCTTAAAACTCAACAGTAAGACAACACACAGCCTGATTTTAAAATGGGCAAAAGACTTTAACAGACACCTTACCAAAGAAGATACAATGATGGCAAGTAACCATATGAAAAGATGTTCAACATCATGTCATTAGGGAATTATAGATTAAAACAACTATGTATAAAATGGTGTTAAACAAGAAGGAAAAACTGCATTAAATGGATGAGGTGGCTATTTGCCCTTTGGGCTCCCTAGTACCAAAATACTCTTCCTCTTCTGAAGAAATCACGAGAGAGGGGAAGCAGAACCCTACGACTCACTGCAAAAGCCAAAGGCAAAAGACCTAGGTGTAGCAATCACATGCTCCCAACTTGAATCTTGAGGGACTGAAACGAAGTTGCAGAGCTGGTTAGAGAAAGTTGCAGAGAAGTTGGGATTCCAGTAGAAGAGCATGAATGTCTAAGGCAGTAGAGTTCTAAAGGACAATAGTTTACATCCAGTAATGTGAGAACACCAAAATGGACCATTCCTATTCTTGGATATTGGGGTTTTATGTAAATTTTCCTTTTTATCTCCATTTTACAGGTAAGAAGAAACTTGAGCTCAGAGAGGTTCTGTGGCTGGGTCACATTAAGAATCAACTGGGAACATCACATGGATTAAATAATGGCACTAGATAAAGGATTCAGGTCGTCTGACTCTAAGTCTAGTTCTTTCCATTCCACCAGAATGCCACCATGGAGGCAGCTGGAGGACGAGAAGAAAAAGAAAAAAACATAGTCACTACCCTAAGGAAGGTGAGAGAGACAGCAAAAACAATGCAAACACATGGAGGGAAAGAGCTAATCATATAATTCACTGTCAACTTAGACACCAAAATGTAAAGTTAAGATAAAATGTGCCAAAGAGAAAGGACAGATGAGTAAGGTTGGGATTAATAACCAAAGCTGTTATCAAATAGATAGAAGTAGAACTGGGATTAAGGAAATGGATAAAACATAGATAGGCAAAGAGAAGAAGGAACAACATGAGAAAAAAGCACAGAGCAGTATTTCAGTCA